AAGACTCAAAGTTTGGGTGCTTCTCTGCTGAGTAGGCAAAAAAAAAATATTTAGGAACTAACCTGCTTTTCTGGTTTGGACAACAAAAGATAGTACTTCCTCTTTCATTATTATGCCGCTACCTACTATTTCCTGTCCACCGTATCCTGTAAGTAAAGGGTGATATTTGTACACTGTAAAATATAGTATTACAACTTTTGACCAATTCTAGAGATCCTTTCCTAGTATTTCCTCAGTCTGTGCTCAGGCTAACTCTCACTGATTTGGTGGTTTGCCTGGATAAAGACTGAGCAAGGTGCCCCCCCATCTTCTTAGCCCCTTGCTATTCAAAGTATATGGCCCTGCTTTATTTAAAAATTATGCGCTTGTTACGTTGTGATTTTATTGCTGTGCAGTGTCCTGATTCTAACTAACTGACACGGTCTTACTTTGATAGGTGATCTACATAGAGTCATAGAATCACAGAATATCAGGGTTGGAAGGGACCTGAGGAGGTCATCTAGTCCAACCCCCTGCTCAAAGCAGGACCAATCCCCACCTAAATCATCCCAGCCAGGGCTTCGTCAAGCCTGACCTTAAAAACCTGTAAGGATGGAGATTCCACCGCCTCCCTAGGTAACCCATTCCAGTGCTTCACCATCCTTTATTATAAATATCATTTTTTCCCACTGGTCAGCACTAACGCTAAACCTGAAATGATGAATTGTTACAGGCTAAATTGAGTGGGTGCAGGCAAGTGCTGATACGGAAAAGCAGCGTTTATCTACACCCATAGTCTCAACCCAGCTGCTGCTCCATGCAAAGGACTTTCCGCACAGAATACGCCAAAGGGGGGAGTGAGCTGTGTCAGATCTGTGAGGTGTGATGGACAACAAACATTAAAATGCGCTAACCAGACCTCCTGAATGCAGAACTCGGCCTCCTCCCACCTCTGTTACAGAAGACCCTCAGATGTCAACTCTGTGGACTTCAGAGGAGCCCAGCAGTTATGTCCGGCCTAGCCACATATTTAATTACAATCAAATACTAAGAAGCAGCCCTACTTTGACTTTAAGAATATCATTAATATTTCATTGTGTGGCTGCATTAGTCTTACCCTGTGTTCCCAAGCTATGCATTGCTTTCCCCTTTTAAACAGTAAAATTCTCCAGTGCTGCATATCAAGTCAAATCAGGGCTCACAGCCCAGGGTTGATCTTTCAACTTTAAGGCAATTCAACTACTAAGTACAGACATGGTAGGGTAGTCAGTGATATTCCCCTTCCCCTCGCCCCTTTAGGACTACATTGTGATACGTAGACATACTGGCTAAATCCCTGACTTAGTTTGTTTCCTTCAAATAATGTCCCCTTAAGATTAAAGTATTTCATTTGTTTCCTTTTTTTCAGAGCATTCTGTACTCTATTTCACATTCCGCTTTTTTTTAAAGAGTGCTGTAACTCGCTAAAATCAGAACGTGTCTAATATTCACCTAGACTTAACACTGATAAGGTTTAGTTCTATATTGCTGTATCGGCTTAGGGCTAGACGGTGGCTTTTAAAGCCTGAACTCCAATGCAGAGGGATGAAATAGGGTGGTGAGGGGTACAGAGGTGCACTGCATTTGCTGCAGTCAATGGATACATTCTGAACGACATTTTCCAAAGCGGCCTTTAATTTTGGGTGCCTTCAGTTTTGGTTGCCCAGTTTTAGACACAGAGGGCCTGATTTTCCAAGGGGCTGAATATCCACAACTTCAACAAGAGCTGCAGGTGCTTTGCACCTCTGAAAAAATCAAGGATATTTGTCTTGTAACTAATAACATACAATTTCACTCTGTCATGGATCAGTGAAATAGTATTATAAACAGAGACAGAGCTTTTCCTTCAACCATGACACAGAAGGGACAAATACACTACCATGCACTTGTGTAACGTAAAACACAGCTTTAAGTTCAATGCAGGTACTTCCAAGAATCATTGACGCTGCCTAGAAAACTTGTGAAAATGCCCTAATTGAAATCAGTTCTACCTCTGACAGATATTTTCTCTATGTCTCTAATGTGGGGTGTGTAATGGAACCAAACACAGAACAGCTGTTGAGATCAATGTACACAAAATGGCTACAGAAATCAGGCCTCATGTCACTACGGCCATTAATCTAAGAACAGAACATCTGCACATACCGAGCCCCCTCTTTAGCTAGTGTAATTGGCCCAGCTCCATTTACTTCGATGGAGGTAGGCCAATTTACAGTAGGTGAAGTTCTAGTGCACAATGAGTTTGTCACCTGAAGTCATTAACAGGACAGATCCCCAGCTGGAATAAAATGATGCCACTTCATTCATTCGAGTGGAACTAAGACAATTTGCACTAGCTGAAGAAGTGATGGATTATGATTTCAGGTGAGGAGGAAGCAGCAGCAGGAGCAGATGAACTCTTGAGGAAAAAAAGATCCTATATTCTTTCAAATGGTTGTGAAGAATGAGAAAAGACAAACGGCCAAAAAAAAAAAATCAATCACACAAGCAGAATGGTTCCTAAATAAAATGATTTTCATGAGGTACCATCAACTCTTTGAAGTGTCAATAAATAGACACAATGATAGGTGGGCAGAAACCAACAAGGCAACTTTCCCCTGAAGTGCTGTGTGTAACATGGATGTGTGAAACCCTGCGGCAGGGGCACACTGGAAAACCAGGCCCAAGTATTTCACTACCTTGCTGCAGGACCACGTGCGCTAACAATGCTAAGCTTTATCGCTACAGGACAGTACCAGCAAGACAAACAATGGTCCGTTCATTGTGGCTTCCGTGGGCCAAATCCTTAAGTTCTTACTCAGGCAAAGCTTTCAGTGGGCCCAATCTTGAGGATCCTAACTTAAGGGTCAGATGGTGTCTGGTCCTCGGGGTGCACAGTGAAGGAGAAGAGCGTAGTGACGGGCAGAGGTGCTGCACCTCCAGCTCTACTCCCAGGCACTAGCCAGCAGAGCTCTCTGGATGGAGGATAGGAAGTTGCACCCCATGAAAGGGTGCAGAAGCAGGTGCATGGATCTGCCTGGCCATTGGCTCCAGGAAAAGCATTGCTACCTGTTTGCGTTCCCCCTTGGGGATGCTAGCTCCACACTGCCCCTGGCTCTGCTAAATTGTACAGTCTACACCTTAGGTTTCACTCTGTTCTTACTCGATCAGACACCCACGGAAAAGCAAGGAAGAGCTTTGCTTGAGGAAGGATTGTACAACGCCTCAGCATATGGACCCGAAAGCTTAGCATACATCGCTAGGGAGCCCCTTGTGGAAAACACAGAATCATGGCTGAGTCACTCATTAGATAGATACAACCTGTTAGGCCACCCAGCTGACCCTCTCCTCATGCAGGCGCCGTCCCTAGAGTCTACGGAGGATAATGCTGTACTGTGATTGCAACCTCTCAGTAGCCCTGTGTTGGCAAATCAGTTGTGCGGGTAAAGGGGAGGGCACGGGGCAGCTAGGCAGGTTGTCATCACAAGATAAGGTGCAACTACAGTGGTGGCCAGCATTAACTTCCTTATTAACAGGCAAGATCTAGCAGGAGTCACTGTGATATCTCACTGTCATCATGTTTCATATCAGGTTCCAGCGAGATAAAGCGTAACCTCTTGATATATTTTGCAGTAACTGAGTAGTCCTTGTTGGTCATCACTCTGATAGTCAGGACCAATTCCCATTGCTAATCCCTTGCAGGTGTGTATGGAGTAACACAGGCACACATCCTCAAAGGTCATTAGGCTCCCAACTTCCACTGAAATCAATGGGAGTGAGGTGCACAAGTACCTTTGAGGATGTGGGCCAGAGCCTGTGCGGCTCCACTACATAAGGAGCGAAGGCATTAGGATCTGGTGATGAGCCCCATCCGGTACACAAGCCCCTGCATAGCTTGGAGCTCTGCTTCACGGCAGTTCCCAGGCCCCAGCACACAAGGTGTGCTTGAGCAGGCCAAGTCTAGAGTATATGTCCTGGCTCCTATGTTCCACTATTCCCTCGGTAGTGATGACTCCAGCCGCTAGGCTGGAACGGCTTCCAAGCCGTGGTTCCATTGTTGCCCCGTGGCCTTGTGGGAAAGTTTCTTTCCCCACTCCCTCTCAAAAAGCTCCTGTGCCCAGTTGAGATACCTGGATGGGGCCGGGGAATGGATCTGTCCATGCTTGTGGCATTGTTTAGAAATATGCTATTAATCATGTCATACATTTATTTAGATTAGTCCGTTTACACAAGGAACAATAGGCCATTTCCTGCCAACATCCTGAATGTGGAACTCCCATTAAATAGAGTAGTTGTACTTTGCACGCCTAGTGTGCCTTACATCTGAGGGTCTCAAAACGCTTTAAAAACATCAGTGAATTGAGCCTCCCCCCCGTGTGAGGTAGGGAAGTATCATCCCCATTTTACAGATGGGGAAACTTAGGCATGGATAAATTAAGTGACTTACCCAACATGACATGAGTCAGTAAAAGAGCTAGGAGTAAAACCCAGGAGTTCCCTACATTAAACACACTTTCTTTTGTAGCTAATGGTAGTTTTGTACCAATCTCAGTGGGAAGTTTGGCCCTATTACAAATAAATAGAACGAGCAAACTATTTTCTACAAAATAAGATTGATTGTAATCACACTAGTGGTGGTTTTATAACCTCCGATGTTGATTTTCAAAGCAGCAGTCAAAGGGATTCAGATTTGTGATTTGCATTAATGGAATACGTGTTTCTAATTCCCCCAAATGGCTTTGTAAATCTCAAACTGTCCCTAATGTCTGTTTTACATTGCATTTCATACACTCATACTTGTATGATAGGGGACATGAGACATCTTTCAGCTACAGAAATTACGTTAAATCAGTAACACACTTTGATCTGACCTTTTCCCTGCTAAAAATTTTGGAAGATTCTGGCTAGTCTGGATAGAGAATTATTCACTTGCATTGAAAAATGGGCATTGATATGGAGCAAATAATTTATATATATTTCCACATCAGAACATTGCTCCCGAAACTATTTTTACTTTGTTGCTCTGTTTAAAAAAAGTAGCATGAACCATCACCTCTCACCTGGCATTGCTCTAACCCTCATTATATTGAAGAACATCAGATAGATATGTATCACAGAAGAAATTAGCGGTACCATTTATATAGTGTAAAGTCATGCAAACCATGCTCAAAACTATGCTGCTTAGTTTTGGTAGCATGAAAAAAACTGCATTAGTAAATTGTATGAAATGGTGCAGAATGACTACCACTAATACCACATGCATCTTATGCAGCCATCGGTGTTTTGAACTAGTAAGCTTTGGGTGTACAGTAAGTGAGATATACAAAGTATGTTTACATTACACGGAGAAGTCAACCAGTGACCCCCCCCCAACCATTTTTAAACTGGCTTGTTTGAAGGGGTCCATATTGAATCTGAAATCCCATCCCCTGTTGAAGACAAAGGCATGGAGCCACTTGGTGTAAAAGGGTCAGTATCTGTGTCTGTTTCACCCTCTGCTAGGTAGCGTTTCTCTCTCATCCAGGTTGATCCTCCATTTGGACCAAAAGGGAAGTCTTCTTTGTCTTGGGAGATACTGAATCCACTTGGGGAGCGTTCAAGCTCCTCATGGTTGACGGAAAGAAGGGATAATGGGGTGTCGCTGTCTCTTGTCAAGCTCCTTTTCTGCCTTGGAGATATCCTGTCAGAATTGGGGCTCTGCAGATCCCCTTGGGACTGGTACCTAACTCGGGAGTCTATGAATGTGAGTATAGGCAAAACTGTTGGCCTTTCTGCATATGAAGTCGAAGAAGGCATGGCCTGCAACTTGCCAGAGTTTTGCCCACCTAATGAAAAAGGGCGCGAAAAATTCATTGGATCCTGTGCTAAGAAATCATATGGACCGACTTTGTGTACTGGAACCTGGTGAAAGTTATAAGGAGTTTCATGAGTGCAAGGCTCAGAGTATTTGTAGATTATGCTTTTCAATTCAGAGTATCTGTTTTCCTCTCTCTTCTCTTCTGCTGAGGAGGCAGCTTCTTTCAAAGGACACAACTCAGTGACTTGTACTTGCAGCTGCTCCATATGTTGCATGTGCATATCGACTAGAAAATCCAGTTTCTTCCCCATGTCGTGAACCTGAAAAATACCAGTTGTGAGATTTCAAACGGTTCATGGCTGGTCATTCAATGCAACAAACACCAGTTGTTTCCACGGGCACATTTCCCTCAGCAATGATATGCTACCACTGTCACAAAGGCAGCTACAGGAGAACGCTGTGGTTTTCTCATTGGAGCCTGTGGGTGCAAAGTATGTTTTAGCTGCCTGATCCATTTACCTGAACTTGTTTTATCCGACTCTATGAATTCTGAGAGAACAAACTTCTTTCTTTTTTTCAGTTCTCAGTCAGTCGTTAAAGCCCAGAAAATATAAATAGTGATCAAAAGTTGTTGCCATTTATGGTGATTTGGTGGTCTGAGTACTGTTCCCAATGGGAAAGTGTCCATATCACTAAGACCCACATCATGATTAGTAGCTTTTATTGTCAACCACAATAGAAAGGCCAAGGACTGACCTGGCCCTGGACACTGAACTCCTAGTTGTTGCTTCTGAGTGAGGGTTAAAGCTCAGGCTTGACTTCCTTTTCCTGTGGGAACAATTTGTGCCTGCATTTTTACATCCACAAAATAAACTGCTGATGCAAATCCAAGCCATTGCACCTTCACATTTTTTGCACACACAGTCATATATTTAGAAGTGCAAGTGCTGTGATCTGCATGGACAATTCAACCGTTGGCACAAAAAGGCACCTCTCAAGTAGAGGCCATCCTTCTGAATACTCTATCAGCATCAGCAAAGGGAGTATCATGTACAGACAAATATTCAGAGATAGCCCAAAAGCAAAGTGCCAGATCTGAACAATGATGAATTTTGAGGAGGTAGGAAATCTGGATTGAAACTTCATGGCCTGGGCCCATCCCACCAACCAAAATGAAGATGCACCAACTGCTTTGTAAAACATGCACTATTCAGTTAACTAGCAGCTTCATGGAAAACTAACATAAACGTCTCTTTCTTTTAATCCTGAAACTACATACCTGTCTTTCAACTTTAACGAATTTGCCCATCATACTTTGGTCTTCAGTATCTGCTGTGGATGCTTTGGCTACATATTGATCATTTCTAAAAGGAACCAATAGTCTTGTTAGCACTTCATGTTCCATTTTATTACAGCAAGCTATTTGTGTAAGATAACAGAAGTAAAGGGTTATTAATTATTATTATTATTATCTTAGCACCTAGGAACCTGAGTCATAGACCAGGACCCCATTGTGCCAGGTGCTATACGAACACAGAACAAAAAGATGGCCCCTTCTCCAAAGAGCTTACAAACCAAGTATATATAAAAGCACAGACCTGACTAGCCACCACATCACTCCAGCTTTACGTTGGTTTAGTGGGAACCAAAATCAACAGAGCTACACTGGAGTAAAACTGGAGTAGCCCAGTGGTGAATCAGGCTTACCATCCAATGTTCTTATACAACACCTTCAATCCATTACAGAATATCAAGTCTTTTTTCTGCCATCCCTATTTCTGCACAGTTAAGTTAAGAGAAGGATGTTTGTCCAGCATGTAATTTGTCAGCCAAAAATCCACTATCTTATGATAACAAATGCTCATTCCAACTGATAGCATTTCACATTCAACATCTGTTAACATGGTACCACGTTGGCTAGGTGATGGAAGTAACTGCAAAAATTTTAGGACACGAAATGTTAAGCAGAATAACTTCACCTGGGAGATTGTTGTGAAGGGTAAGAAAAAGCTCCTCCCTTTTGGGATTTCTTATGCTTGGGAGTAGATGGAGGTCCAGGGGTAAAAATCATATCTACTCTGAAAGAAGAAAAGAACAAGATATGATAAACATGCCCAAGGTCTTCTTTAAACACCTACAGGAAATGCAAACTGCGCCGTATCCCTCCTGCAATCTATATCTCAGCAGTACGATGAAGGAGTGAGTCTAGTGTTAGGGCAATAGCCTGGGATTCCCAGCTCAGCCACTGACTCATTGTGTGACCACAGGTAAGTCACTTAGGCCACAATTTTCAATCTTAGGCATTTAAAAGTAGCACCAAGAGCCATATTTATGCACCTAAATTAGTGGCTTGATTTACAGAAATACTCAAAACCAGCTGCTGCTCCCAGTGATTTCAGTGGAGAGTCACTAGATTTAATCCAGCAGAATGGGAACAGAATTTGGCGCAATATTTGCAATCCTCTATAACCATTTTAATAATCTAATAAGTTTCTAGCAGTTTTCATATTTAGTTACCATCATAGTTTTCATTATTATTAATTATTTTAGTGGTTTGAAACAAAAAAATAGACACTTCAGGCTGCACAAAGAATCCCACCTGCAGAACATTTGCTTATATTTGGAACCAAACTGGATGGAACATTTTGAAGGCTCTCACATGTTCCATTAACTTCTTTTAAAATTATTTCCCCATGTTCAAGCACTTCTAATCTAGAAGTGTTAAAACATAGCATGAAAAGCCATACAGGTATTTCCAACATGACCAGAAGTGAAAGACCTGGAAAGCTAAGGAAACCACTTGCTTTTCTGAAATTTCCATTCAAACGATACAGAATCCAAAGGTTCAGGTAAGTAAAGATAAGAATCTAGGCTGGGATTTACAAAGGAGCAGAAAGGAGCTAGCTACCCAGTTCCCACATTGACATCTAATGAGATTTAGGCTCCTAAATGACTAAGGCCTGGTCTACACTAGGCTTTTATGTCGAATTTAGCGCCGTTACATCGAATTAACCCTGCACCCGTCCACACCACGAAGCTATTTAGATCGACATAGAGCTCTCTTAAATTCGACTTCTGTACTCCTCCCCAACGAGAGGAGTAGCGCTAAATTCGAAATGGCCATATCGAATTAGGCTAGGTGTGGATGGAAATCGACGCTAATAGCTCCGGGAGCTATCCCACAGTGCACCACTCTGTTGACGCTC